GAGAGAGAGAGAGAGAGAGAGAGAGAGAGAGAGAGAGAGAGAGAGGATGAGGCAGGCAAGGCAGGCCTCTTCCAGAAGTGACACCATCACACCCACCCCACTGTTGTCTCTTGTCTCCTGCTGATGTGAGGATGAACACAGGTCCCCCATGCAGGACTTCTCACTGTTGAGAATCCTTTCATAGATGTTGCTCACAAAAGAACTGCAGCCTCTGTGCTGGAAAAGCACCTGCTAAAGGGGCCTCCTCTTTGTGGGTCCTGCCATGGACATCTGGAGAATTCCCATATGCTGTATCTTATGATTTGGTGTCAGCCTTGGAGGAAACCAGAAAAGATACAGATTTTAGCCTGGGTTTCCCCACTTTCTCTGCCACTCTCCCCACCTAGAATGCAGCTTTGACATACACAATACAGCAGTCTCATCCGGGCCCTTCTCTACTCAGTGCCTCCTCCCAGTGGCATGGTAATCACTTCATAGCATATTGTTCGGAGAATCAGCTCTCCATCAATGCTCCATGTGTTCCAATATAGCGCATAAAGCATGACGACCCTATTTTTATTCAAGAGAAAGTCACCGTATAAGTACTAAGTATCTCATTTCAGTTGATATAAAATAAAATGGGAGACAGTAAGAAGGTGGTCATGTCTTCCTGCCCAGGAGTCTTTTATGTTTATTGTTGTATATAAAAGAATTTCACACTACTTTTAATCATTGTGCCATCTTCCCACCTAGCAGAACTAGAAAGCTTTGGTAGACAAGCAGCCCAGACCATTACTCCGCCACTTTGTGGAGGCTTCTAGAGTAGAAATCTAGTGGTAGGATGGTTGAAGAGTGAAAAGATACTCATTGTCTATTTCTGTGTTAAGTCACTGCTTGTTTTGTGGAGTGCACTGAGCTCCTTGCTTTGGAAAGATGGAACCAGCAGATGACATCCTTAGCAGTGGGAACACTGAGATACATCAGAGAAGAGTAGTTGGGGTGGCAATGGGGCTGAAAAATCTAGGAAAACGTGAACGCCTTCTGGTGATGAGATTTGAGGCTTGAGTCTGATTTCAGCACTTCAAGTGATTGTGTGTACACACTGTAAAAGTGGCGGGCAGAAATATTCACTCCTGAGTTCAAGGCACACTTATTATGTGCCCAAGCATCAACTGTATGCACAGCCATATTTAGAGTGATAAGCCATCAACGGAGAATAAATACACTGGGCATTAAGGGTGGCCTCCAAGGTTTGAACATGATTGTCCCAGTGGGAACTGAGTCAATACATGGGGTTCACATTCCACCTGGCCTAGTAGTATGATTTTGCTGAAGGTAGGAAATCTCCGCCATTTGTCTCTGCGTCAGAGACCAGACTGGGAGAGAGAAAGTTCACCCACAGAGGTACAGTCAGGAAGATACTTGTCCCAATCTCAGAGGTAAGCGATGCCTCAGGAAGACTGTGAAGATAATGGTGTGGCGTGTTTTGGTTTTAGTCATATATATGCTCAGTTTCCACTTCTTGTCTCCCTGGAGGTTTAAAGGACAAAGTTGGGTGCATTAACTCCATCTAAAAGTATTACTACACACTGGTATATGTAGGAGTGACCTTTTGATCTCATGAAAATACATTGATAAAAAACCTAGTTATACTATTAAATACAGGAATTGGAATTGTTATA